GTGAATCAGCACCTCAGTGTGCCTGTTACCAGCCAGCTGCTGCACYTAACCACAGCTCTGCCACAGGGTGTGACAGCAGGACCCAGATGGAGTGAGTGGCAAGCAGGGAGGGGAAAAAAAAAGAGAGGAGTGAGGCAGTTTTTTGTGGGTTAGCCCAAATGGGGGTGGGGGTCTGCCACAGGCCCCTGTCTCCTCACCACAGCAGCCACCGAGCCCCGGAGAGAGAAAGCCAAAGCGYCACATTTTTACAAGAGCTAAAATAAACAACGTGAGCACAGAAAACCCACCCTGCCTGGTTGACTGCAGGCACTGGAGCAGAGCTGATAAGCCAGTGCTGCGGCTCGGTGGTCTGGGACTCGGTGCTGTAATGAACTCCACTATGATCTCCACTTGTGTTAAACACTGGACTCTTCAAGTGCCAAAAAAAAAAAAAAAAAAAAAAGTGGAGGGAGTGCCACTTTGCATCCAAAGAATACAAGCTGAGCAAACAGTTTATATAAAAGGATAAAGTTTGCACAAATAGTCTCACTGACCTGTGGCTGGGGAGTGGGATGTTTTTGGATTTCTGCTCCAGGCCTAAAACAAAGGTGAGTAAAACAGTAAACATCCTGCTGATCCATGAAAATTACATGGAAAACATTATTAGGCTTTCTAGAAATAGAATTTCTGATTTCTTATTTTTACATCTTATTATTATATTAGGAGCAGCCAAAAATATATTGTGGGAAAAACATGGGGCTCTGTCAGAAATTAAACTACAAAATGTTCTTTATGCATGAGTCCAGAACAGTTCACTACATCTTTCAAAGGTTATAAAAACTTAGAAAAGTTCCTAAGCTTTTACAGAAAACGTGTTTACTCATTGCAAACTGTATAATAAAACATGAAAACATATATATTGAATTATATAAAATTGTTCCATTTGAATGGGTTTCCGCCAATTGTTTTCCATTTAAACTGAATGCAGGTCTGAAACGCGGGTCCGCACTCAATGTAAACAAAGCTGAATTCTCTGAAAATCACATGGAAGTTTTCAGTCACATGACTGACTTTTGGCTATTTTGTAAACAAATATGGAGGAATCTGTCAAGCGTAGACYGGAAAAATACACGCAGATTTAAGGTTAAACTTTGAACTATTTCTAGTCGCTTGATTTTTTTTTCTTTTTTCTTTTGCTAGGCAAATACATGCATGTGATCTTTGGCATCCGGTTACAATTTTATTTAAATTTTTTCAGCCTCAGTGACTTTGCATTGAGTACCTTTAATTTTAGAGTCACAATATGTTTAGATTGTGAAATGAGCCAAATAATTCAACTCCAAACATGAAAAATGCAGTTTGGGCAAATTAAATCTAGAAAATTCACCCCTAATAGGTTTTGAAATATATGTTACACTACATGAAATCCAAACACTACTGATATTTATTGCAACTGAAAGGCAAATTTTGAGATATTTTCAAATGTCAGGTCTTCACCATATCCATTTCTATTATTTTTAAAACTATGAAGCTTTTATTTTGATWAAAAAAAATCACACAAAACCCCTTTAGTTGTTAGCTGATGGATCAGTGACAGCTTGTCAGAATTGGTGACGTTTGGCACCTTATTGTTGGAGTATCAGCGACGAAGACAAGCAGCACCTGGAGTTCTGACGTGAGCTGCTGCCAACATATTTTCTGAATAAAGCCCAACACTACTGGAGATGTAAAGAGCAGATAAAGAGCATGGAAAGCATTAAGCTACACTACTTTAGTCTAAATGCCTGAACTTCAGTTTGGTCCAACAACAACACTGAGGTCTGTGCCAAAGTGGCAGCTGCTGGATCAACTCCTCATGTCTGCCTCTGACTGCCTCATTAGATCGTTAAAAAAGGATTTAACCRCATTACTGAGAATTAAACAAGCCATACTTTTCTGTATCTTTTCAGTCACAAATTAAATATTTTATCCACATTTTTTTCTTTCAAACAGATAAACACAGGTGGAAATAATTAAGGTAATCATGACTGCTCCAGTTTCTTTTTGCTGGCATCATTTATTGTTCAAATTTATCAATAGATGGAAGATTGTTCTGTGGAAAACAATTTTCTACAAGAGGTGAATTTTGATATGTTGTCAAAATAACGTATAATTGGCTTTTTCTGTTTAGAACGTCTATTATTTATTATTATTATTTATTTTTAAACTTAACTTCCTGTTTTTTCTCCTCACTGTGAGAATCATGATGTT